GAGTGTAAAAGTATCAGTATACGCCTCTCACATGTAAAACACCCATATCCTCTTAACACTCCTTCCCACACACACACACACACTCATACACACACATATACAACACAGCACCTGCAACGGCTGCCGCAGTTCAGCTTCTTCCGGTCGCCCATGTGTAAGGTGGCTGGTCTTAAGACATGTTTGGCATTGCCCGTGAGCCCAGATGAGAGTCTGGGTGAGATGTTGGGGGCAGTCATCCTGTTTGGTTGCGAGGATAGGGAACCGAACGAAGGTATGGGTGTAGGTATAAATGTATCTATAGGTGTGTGAAGGTATAAATGTATCCATACGTGTGTGTAGGTATAAATGTATCCATACGTGTGTGTAGGTATAAATGTATCCATACGAGTGTGTAGGTATAAATGTATCCATACGTGTGTGTAGGTATAAATGTATCCATACGTGTGTGTAGGTATAAATACATCCATACGTGTGTGTAGGTATAAATGTATCCATACGTGTGTGTAGGTATAAATGTATCCATACGTGTGTGTATATTAGTACATATGGATGGTGTAGTCATAGGAGTGTGCAGAGTCACAAATGGGTGTGTTAGGGATGAACGATATATACACGCACTGCCACAGTTATATTCCTTTTATTGATACCGTTACACTTATACCTATGGCTGTTCTATAGCTTAGACACACGTATATCCCTGAGTGTGGCTGTTGCGATATTTTATTTATTATTTTCAATATATCGTAAACGAAAGGTATGCTGAAAAGGTTAATCGGTATGGTACGGAGCAAGCACTGACTGCGGCTGATGAATGCGAGCCCATTTGCACATCCACAAATACAACCAGTACCACATTAAGAGCCGATTTGTTTCCCACTCATGTCGCACTAATTCATCCATTAACACCACACAGAGCAAGTACTGCGGCTGATGAATACGAGCACATTGGTACATCCACAAATACAACTAGTACCACATTAATAGCCGATTAGTTTCCCACTTATGTCGCACTAAGTCATCCATTGACATCACACAGAGCAAGTACTGCCGCTGATGGATGCGATCACATCTGTGGCTCGCATTGTGACTGGCAAAGCACGTTTGCCAAAGGAGTTAATCTCCAAATGGGAGTATGCGGGTATTGTCTGCGATTCGCTAGAGGCCCAGGTAGGTAGAGGGTTCTATGCCTCTATTATCTATCATGTACATGTATGTT